GAAGAATTCTTTACAAAAAAAAATGTCAAACAGAAAAAACCAAAAAAAGAAATGTAAAAGGAGAATCAAAAAAAAAAAAAACCAAACCATGTCAAACATTTTTTGGTTTTTTCCATTAAACCATTTTTTTTGTTTGTTTGATTGTTGTCAAGGGGACAACAACAACAACAAGTCTAGTTATGTCTGATGATCAAGTTGTACTTATTAACAAACGACAATGACAACGGCAACAACGACAACAAATTATTAGACAGAAAGACCTTCAGAAAACAACTAAATGTTTCAATGAAAATCTTTATTAAAAAAAACAAGAATCTTTATTATGTAATCGACAATTTGGAGAATAAAATTTTCCATATTATCATTTTGTTTTGATTTTGAGCAAAAAAAAAATTGATTCTTTTTCTTCTTCTTCTTCTTCTTCTTCTCGATCTTGATCATTTGATAATCGATTTTTTTTCTCATTTAGTTCTTATTGAACAAAAATTCCTTGTTCATGTCCTTGATAACAATAATAATAATAATAATGGATTAGTGAAAAAAACCGGCAATTAAAATTCGCACTTGAACAACAACAACAACAACAATAACTAAAAAAAAATACAAAATCAAAATTGAAAAAGAAAAAACATAAATTATGGAATTGTATGAAAACAAACATTCTTTTGGCAGTTTGTTTTTATTTCTGTTTTTTGACCAGAAAAACATGATGATAACGGTTTGATGATAAAATTCATTAATTTTTTTTTGTTTTGTTTCGCACTTATCTATATTTATAGATAAATAAATGCCAAGGTCAAGGTCAAGACAAATAGTGTATTTTATTTTGTAATTTTGTTTTTCTGGTTTTTTTTATATCATTTGAAAGGATGATCAAAATTTATTGGTACAAAATTACATAAACAAAAACATGTTTTTCGTTTCGTTTCTTGGTTTTTTTGTTGTTTTCATTTCCGCATAATTTATTTATTTATTTTTGAAAAAAACAAAAATTATTGAATTGAAATTAAAAATTGAAAAATTTTTTTAATGAAAATCCAAAAATGACGTTATAACAGAATTTGTTTGCAAAAAATAATAAAAGATAAGCCTATCTGAAATGGCTATCGCCATCTATTGATGAATTTTCTTAAAATTTTTTTTTAAAAGGATATTTTTTCAGGCGAATTTTTTGAATAAAAATCCTGAAATAATTAATAATAAAATAGTTGAAATAATATTCAATGCCAGACCATTATAAACATTTGGATGTGTTAATGGCCATGCACGTAACATAACATTTCTTAATGATTGTGATGGCATACTAATTGGACTAAAATCAACTAAATATTGAAAATTTTCTGGTACTAATTCACGTGGAAATATTGTACCACTTGTGAATACTTGTGAAAATGTTAAAAATATTGAAAACATTGTTGCTGTTGATCCTTCTTTTACCATCGATGATATTAATAATCCTGATAAAATTAAAGAAAAAATTTTAATTTGAAAATCCAATGAATGCATTTACAAACCTGTTGCAACCGATGATAAAGCCTGTGCCATAACCATTGTAAATACTAACCAAATTGGACCTTCATTAATCATTTCGAATACAAATAAACCAACAAATAACATTAATGAAACTTGAATAGCAGAAGCAACAAAACTTGAAAAGAAATGTGATAATAATACAAGATTATGGCTAACACCAGCAACTAATGAACGTTCAAACAGGCCTTCACTACGTTCCTGTACTAAAAGTTGTGCTGATATTGTTAATTGTGATAGATAAATGAATGCAATTAAATAGCCAGGTAATAGAAAATCAGATATTTTTGAATCTTTTGCATAGATTATTTCATGTAAATCTAATGGTGCTTCAAATCTGGTTAGATTTTGTTCTTCATGTACCATTGTTAGAAAATTATAAACAGTTTGTCTTAATGAATCGATTAAACCTTGTGCAAATAGAAAATTTGAATTATCCATATGAATACGTATTATACTTGATTGATATGTTTCATTTGTCATTGAATCAGGATCGATAATACGATTTATAATTGAATCAGTAAAATTTGCATCAAATATTAATATACCAACAATATGACCATATTCAAGTGCATTCATTGCTTGTTTTTCATTATCATAGTATATTGGTTTTAAATAATATATATCAACTTTTTCAATAAAATCAAATAAACGATTTGAATAATAAGGATCTGGTTCATGATTACAAACACCGATTTTAATCTATAATTGATAAGAAAAAAAAATGAATAAGGATGATTGGTTATAATAAGAAAATGAATTTCAATCAATCAAAAAATAACTTACAGCAACATCATCAACATCATACATAAGACCAAGAATTAATGTTTGAAATGCTGGTATTAAAAATATTAATGTTGTTATGTTTAATTGAAAAAATTTGGATAAATTTTTATGTATTAAAACAATAAGTATCCATATGCTAAGTATAATTGTTGACCATTTTGATGTTTGATAAATATTTGATAATTTTTTTTCATTATTTTTCAATGAATTTTTATCCATATTAATCGATTTTTGATGATTTTTTTCATTGATTATATTTGTAATAATAATTTCATTATTATTTTTTGTTTCATTATTATAATTATTATTATTATTAACGATTTTTGGTTTTGGATCATGTTCACAAAGATAAAGAAAAACATTTTCTAATGTTTGTTGTTCATAACGTTCAATTAATGATAATGGATCATCTTCTTCAAGTATACGACCTTCACGCATAATACCAACAATATGTGCACGGCTTGCTTCTTCAATATAATGTGTAACAACAATAATAACAATATTATCCTGTTGACAAAGTAAATGTAAATATTTCCATATATAATCACCTAATGTTGGATCACTACCAACAGTTGGTTCATCTAATATCATTAATTTTGGTCGTTGTAAAAATGTAACCGAAAGTGATACAATTTTTTGCTGGCCACCAGATAATTCCGAAATAAGTTTATTATCATCGGGTAATCCTAATATTTTTTGTAAATTTTGTTTACGTAAACGAAATTCTTTTCGTGTTAAACGATAAAGATTAGCAAAATATTGTAATGTTTGTTCAACGGTAAATGTACGACATAATGCTTGATCTTGTGGCATATAACCAATGATACGATTATTTTGACCAGGTAAACTATCAAGTACACGAATTTGACCGGAATTTGCTTTGATACGACCAAGAACTAATCGAAGTAAAGTTGTTTTACCGGCACCACTTGGACCCAACAAACTGTATATTTTACCATATGGTACTTGAAGATTAATATCTTCCAATATTGGACGTTGTTTTGTGTAGAAAAAATTTACATTCGATAATTGTACGGCTGCCATTTTTCTTAAGCACTAAACAATCGTCGTCGTCGTCGATGATGAATGATGGAGATCGAATTACCAGTCAACATTAATGCTGATGATATATTGTTTGTAGCTTAAGTTTCCTATTTGAAAAAAATATAAGTAACCAATTTCCTTTAATGCGGTGCCAATTTATTATTCATTTGGTGATCTCTACCGATCGATAAAATCTGCGATGAATCAGAATGAATTAATTAAGGAAATTTGATTGCAAAAACTGTTAATATCAAAGACATTTTGTTTTTTGTTTTTTTTCTCAATTGTTTTGTTCTGACATTGAATTTGATCAATTTGATCAATGTGTTGTTCGCGCCAAAATTGCAATATGGAAGAATGTAGAATTAAATTCATGATACGTTATCTATGACCGGTTCTATATTGATTCTGTTTTTATTGTTTTTTTTTTGTTTTGATGAAGAAAAAAATTTCATCAAAACAAAACAAAAATGACAAATAAGCAAATATTTTAATGAAAGATTTTTGTTTGAAAAAAATGACTGATTAATTTTTTTTTTGTTCATCCTCTTAAATATTCTAATCATTAAACTCAATCATGTCAAACATTATTAGTGATCATAATCTTGCAATTTTATCATGGAAAAGACTTCATTTGGCGCGTGCAAAATTGAAGGCTAGCTCACGAACATCAGCTTTATTATCCGGATTTGCCATGGTTAGTTGATTTTGTTTATGCAAAAAAAATTTTTTTTTCGACTATGGCAATAAATAAATAAACAAATAAATTGTTTTTATCCTTGTTACATATATATAGGTTGCCATGGTTGAATTACAAATAACAAGCAAAGTGCCAATGGGTTTATTGATAGCATTTACAGTCTGTACAACATTATTAGTATCGGTTCATATGCTTGCATTGATGATATCAACTTGTATATTACCGAATTTAGAAGCTGTCGGATCAATAGCATCATATGAATATGGATTAACTGCTGTATGTAGGCTAAATTTATTTATTTTGAATTTTTGTTTTAAAATAATCCTTTTTTTTATAAAACAAAAACTCAGGTACAAGAATCACCACATGAAAGATTAAGATTTTGTATAGAAATGGCATGGTCATTCAGTACAGTATTTGGTATATTTTTATTTTTATTCGAATTGGCTTTATTATGTTGGGTTAAATTATGGGATATACAATATGGAAAAAAAGCAGCATTAGCTGCAACAATATTGCTAATACCGATTGGTATTATATTTATTGGATTTGCCATACATTTTTATCGAGCATTAGTTGCACATAAATATGAACGTACTGAACGTAATTATCAAGAACTTGAATTTTTTGTCAATCAATTAAGTAATCTTCGTAATGATAATAGTAGAATTATTAATGACACTGTGATCAATGTAAACAACAAACATCCAATTTCAAATGCTAAAATTTTAAATGAACAATCAATACAGATGACTGAACAAAATTTACTCGTAAAATCTCCAATTCAAACAACAACAACAATGATTGAAAATATTTAAATGATGATCAACGATAACAGAAAAAAAGTGATAATAATAATAAAAATCAATTGAATTCGGATACTCATCAATGTTCGAACATTTTTTGTTGTTGAAAGGTTCGAAAATAAACTAAACTATATACTTTTGCAATGTTATTATCCTTTATTATTTATTATCATCATCAATGAAACGATTCTTATTGTTATAATAATAATAATAATAATAAAAAAGTTTTAAACAAAATTTTTCAAAATGAAATTATTATTCATCAATTTGAAAAGATTAATGCATTTTATCGATGAATGAATGAATGAATGAATGAATAATGGACACACACACACATAAAAAAAATGATTGACTTATCGATTTGTAAGGAAATGTTTTTTTGTAACAGAAAAATGAAATGAAATTTCTATTTTTAGACAAAAATTTGACATGAAACTTATATCTGGACTTTTATTATAATAACCGCTATTACCGATAGTGATAACAATTTCGGTACGTCATTTATGGATTTTGTTTTCGAAGAGAAAATATATTCGAAACATTGGAAATCTGGTTTTGAATTCGACAAACAATAAAGTCACAACAAGAATCATGAAAATGATCATCAGGATCATCATGATTTTTTTCATTGTAAAATCAATTAGCATCGCAAAAAACTGATGATGATGATCATGATCATCATCAGATTTGAATAGAAAACATCATTTTCGATTCGGAAAAAAAATCATCATAAAATTTAGAAATGTGTTTTTTTGTTGTTGTTGTTCATTGACATTCATCATTCCTGAACTAAAGAACGAACGAAAAACAATTACTTGTTTGACAGGTATTTTCATCAAATGGATAGAAATCCATTTCTTCGAAGATCAATCAACTTATCACCATCGCACTGACAATATAACAACAAACAAATGTAAAGAAAGTCATAAATATCTGTTCAACACATCATCATTTCCGTTTTAGAAAGCCTGAAAGCAGCAAAAAAAATTAATAATAACAAAATCCATCAACCACATCTTAAATATATCAAATATCGTGAGTATTTCTTTTCTTTTTTCTACGAAGTAAATGAAAAATTCGTGAGCAAAAACAAAGTTGAATAATTGAATTCATCCCAAAAACCAAACCAAAACAACTGAACAACTTTTTCAAAAGCAAAAATCAAAAACACAAACAACAATTTAACACATATTTAACCACCAGAAATAAAAAAAATTGATCAGAAATGAAAATTCATCATCATTATTTCCGGTTAAAAAATGATGATTATGATAATCATATTGACAAGAAAATTATCTATACAAGACAAGAAACTACTTGTAAAATCCGTAAATATCATGGTTATATTTTACTGTTTTTTTTTTCGTTGATTGAACATTGTTGTTGAATCCAAACAAAAAAAAAAGTAATCATTGTTGTTTTCAACTGTTAAGATGTGCCACTGTATTAAGTTTTTTTTAAAAAAAACTTTTTTCAAGTCAATTTTCTTTTTGTTGAATTTAATCCTTGCATTCACCAACGAGATGAATGAATGGGCGCCATAGAGAAACAAAAAAAACTTTCAAATCTTTTTACTTTCTCCTATCATTATGTCGATATTTATACATACGATTGAGTTTGTTCATCCAAAAAAGAAAATTGATGTAATCGATTTTTTTTTGTTTCATCACGAATTTCAAAGGAAGAAAAACATAAAGAAAAATCATATGCCTGTTATCATTAACGTATCATTTGGAAAAACTTTCGTTATTTAAAAAAAAAAATTCAACGAAAATCCAGATAAATTAACAAATAACATCCAAGAGAAAAAGAGAAACAATGCTCGAATCAAATCAAATCGATCATCAATAATCAATCATAGAACAAAGATTCCTTTTCTTTTTGAATTCAATCAACAATTCTATTGATTATTGATTGAATCCATACCATTCAATACTTGGACAATTTACAGATCATCATCGATCCAAAAAAAAAAAAACAAAACAACATCTTTTCATCATCAAATGGTGATTTCATTTTCGATTTTTATTGTTGTTGTTGTTGTTGAATAAAACGGACCATCCGAAAAACAACAACAACAACAAAATGTTTATAGCGAGAAACTTGCGGGACAACTTCTCTTTTATTCTGTTTTTGTTTTTTCCAATGTTTTCTCTTCTTGAATGAATGAATGAATGAAAATATTGCCGAATTGTTTCTTTCTCTTTTTGAATCCAGTTTTCAAACAAAAAAATCAGGCGCCATTGCATGCAAATATTGTCCAATTTTTTTCCATAGGATAGTAGCAGCAGCAATAAACTAAATGACTACTATCCCACGAAAAATAAAGCCGCATTCAATTCAAAATTCATATTGATGATGGTTGTTTCTATCTTTGCTTTAGTTTTTTTTTCTGTTTCAAGCAAATATAATTCCTATTCAATGTGAACAAAAATGATCTAAATTTGAATTGAATTGAATAGGGATTTTTTTCTATAGTTCTAATCGCCATGATCATCGTATATGATTAGCCAGCCAGGTAACAAAAAAAAAAAGTATGAATCTTTGATGATGTTGCAATGGGATGATTATTGATGATGATCATCATCATCATTGATAAACAGGTGAGCCAATGCAATTTCTCTCTCTTTCTGTCTTGAATTTTTGTTTCTCTCTCTCTCTCTCTCTCTTTATTGAAACAAAACAAAACGATGATGAAAAACAACAACAACTAAAAAAAAGATATTCCAACGTCATTCATATTGATGATATGGTTGTCTCGTTGTTGTTTACCTGTTGATTTTTATCTGTTGATTTTGCTCGATATTTTACACTAACAAAATCATCATATATCGAATGAATGTTTTTCTGGTTTTTGGATAAAAGAATTTTCTCCAAAAAAAGTTTCAGAATCTAATCAAATATTGAATATCAGTGTATCAATATTTTCATAATTTTCATTCATCCAAAAAAACAACCAAATAAAATCATCCATGTGCAACCAACTGTAAACATAAATATTGTAACTGTTGAATTTTGTTCAATTTTTTTTTAAATTTTATCAAAAGAATCATTCAGGTGGTCATCTTGCATGTGTTTGGTGTGTGTGTGTGTGTGTTTTGTTTCTCATCAATCAATACCAAGTGCCAATCATTGTTTGTTGTGATTTTTCCCAAAACCAAAATTTTTTGTATGAGAAAAAATTTTGGTTGTTTTTGGTTGTTCCAGATTTTATTTCAAAATCGAATCGAAAAAAAAACACCAAAAAAATCAACATTCTCAACAACCGCAAAACATTGAAAACTCCATATTTAGCTATATTTCCATCATCGTTCGTCTTTGAATTCAAATCAAAGTAAAAAAAAAGCAAAATGATTTTCAACTTTGGGCGAGTACTTTCGACCATAAATTGAATGAAAGAAAATAAATAAATATCATCATCATCATCATCAAAACCACCAAAAATAATATCATTACCATTTTGAATCCTTTTTTTGCTTCTTCTTCTTCGTTTTTTCCTATTTAGTGGTTTTTCCATCATCACTATCATCGTTCTGTTTTTATTGACAAAATTTTGTGTGTGTGTGTGGTTTTTTTTCAAAAGAAATATTACATTACATCACCTGTTTTGCTTATTGAAATACAATTCATCACCAACATTACAACAACGAAAAAAGTAATTACTTTGTTGAATTTCTTTTTCTGGAAATATTTTTTGTTTTCCAATAAAATTTCTCACTTTTTTTTCTATCGATGTGTTATGTGCCCATTTGTTTTGCATACCTTGTTAGTCTGAAATGAAGTGTTTTTCTTTTTTTTCCAACCCAAATAGGATTTTAATCTTTCTTTCGTTAACAATCTTGATAGAAGTACAAAAAAAATAAACATTTAACCCAGGTAAATCGATTGCTGATTTTCTGTGAAAAAAAAACAAACTGAAAAATAAATATAGCATCAATTTCATTACAAAACTGATGGAAGAAGAGGAAAAATTTCTTAGTATTTTTAGTCAAATTTTTTTTCAGAAAAAAAAAACATTTTCTAAATGCCATGTTCTTTTTTTCTCAGCAAATCTTCTCGGGTAAACTTTATTTTTGTCAACAAAAAAAAAACTGTTTTCCTTAACAAATGTAGGTGGTAAATGTTTGCAAAAAAAAGTACCAAAATGTGCAATTTTCTTATGTTGTTTTCGGGTTTGAATCAAATCTAACAACAAAAATCTTGACAAACAAAGAAAGAAAGAAAAAATTCAAATAGGAAATGTAGTTTTTTTCAGGTAACTCACTGAATACAATAGAAACTCAACCAAAACAAATCAAATATCCGGTAGCAATTCATTATGTTCATAAATATACAGTGCATGTGCGTTTTGTTTGTATTTTGCATTTAGTATAATTTTTAAATTTTAAAACTAAAATCAATGGGAAATTATGAAAAATAATAATAAAGACATTCATTCATCAACTGAATGATGATCATGTTGATGATGATTTTGGATGGAAACTGTATGACAAACAAACTGAAGAACAGAAAAAAAAATCCAATTGGAACATGATGATGATTTGGACATTATAATTTGAATGTAAAAGAAAAATGAATGGAAAAAAAGTAAAAGTTTTTAAATTTAGATAATTTCAAATTATGCAAATGTATGTCATTATCTACAAGTGTGCATAAAGTGTTAAGATTTTTTTATTTGAAATTTTTATTTTTTTAAAGAAAAATATAAAAATGAATTTCCATTTCGTTTTTTGTCGTTGTTGGTTGTCGCTACTCACATATATCGTTACGTTTGATTTCACAATTCGAACGTTCGAAACGTTCGAAATGCTCGAAACGTTCGAAACGAAAAAACAAAAAAAAAACATTTAGCCTTGTTATCAATTTGATTCAATTCAACTTTAAATGAACTGAACAATTAGATTTGACATAAACAAACAAACAAACAAACATCAAAATGAATGAAGAAATGTTCCAGTTTTCCAGCTCCATCAACTCTTTCAATCGTCGAAAAAAAACATGATTTTTAAAAACAACAAAAATTTTTCCATTCATTAATCAAACATTT